AAGCGTAAAATGTATATAAGCTTGACTGCGCCCCCCATGCGGAGGATGGAACATCATTTGGTGAGAACAACCTAAACACTTAACTCTCTCCTTTCTCTATATCCCCGGAGTGTGTGCTAACTTGACCGTCGGAGGATTTTTCCGGCCACACACCACCGGGTAGCTCACCGCCGTTGTGTTCGCAGGTCGATCAGACAGACAAGAAGCTTGATAGAAAGGAGTACGGGCTCTGCGGAATATTGGCCCCCCGTACACTAACTATATGTAATTTTTTGTTTCATATATACCATGTAATTAACATACTTAAAAGTCCTATACTTAAAAGTCCTATGTTCTCTCAATCAACAATGCAAAATAGAATTTTAAAGGGTAAATTACAAATACACTTCTTAAGGTTTGCTTAAAATATACATTTTTTCTTGTGGTTTGATAAATTACAAATACTTCTTTGTTAGTATTTTTTATTTAACAGAATTAACTAAAAAAATTAAATTTATATTACTCTTCTATACAATAATAAAATTACCTAAATTATTAATTGAAACATATTTCTAATATCATTAAAAATTATTAATTGACTTGATTATTTATTAATAAAATGGGCGATTTGTTATGAAATTAAAAATCTCAGGGAGGTGGAATGTAATTTTCAAAAATGACAAAAAACGATTTGTATTTTAATCAAAATTTAAGAAGTTTATTTAAAATTTACTCAATTTTAAACCATACCGTTAATGATCAAACTAATAACTTTTAGGTCGTCTGACCAAAGACTTTTAACTTAATGGGAGGGTTATGGATCTGACCATCTAAAATAATCAGAAATTTCCTATGGAAGTCCAATGGTGAGCGAAGTATCTCTTGGAAAAAATGGATGCATTTATGCTTTCCAAAAGATTGGGGTGGATTGCGATTTAGGGATTTAACGTGTTTCAATCGAGCACTACTCGCAAAATAGGCGTGGAGGTTGATTTCTAATCTCAATGGGTTATTGTCACGGGTCTTCTTGAGTAAGTACTGTCATAGACAAACTTTTCTCAATGTTACTTTGAGTTCTACCGCTTATTGGGGGTGGCGGAATATCTTATAGGGTAGGGATTTACTAAAGTCGAGTCTTCATTGGGTAGTGGGGAATAGTCAACAAATTCGGCCTTTCGAAGATCTATAGATCCCTTCTATGCCCAACCCCTTAAGAGGAAGGGATATTACCAGAATTCTTCCGGATATGCGAGTTGAACATTTTATTGATTGGGATCACGACTTTTGAAGGGAGAATTTGATAAGATTATTCTTCCCTGTAGACTGTACTTGAGCTATTATATCTGTTCATATACCCAATTATCCTTGTGAAGACAGGCTAGTTTGGAGCCCAGTTAAAAATGGAGTTTATTCTATAAAATCTGGGTATGAACAAGCCTTGATTCGTACTTATCCTTTGTTTTACAGGACGTGCTCTACTCAAGGGGTATGGAAGAATTTATGGAATATAGGCTTACCTTCAGAATGGACTGTCTTCATTTGGAAATGTCTTCATAGAATTCTTCATGTCCAATGGGAATTAAAAAAAAATGGTGTCCAAGTTAACATTAGATGTGCCAGATGTCATAATGAAGAGGAGACAATCAAAAATGTATTTTTTGAATGTAAGTGGGCACAAAGAGTATGGAGGGGATCACCTTTGGGTCTGGATTTTAGAATTGGTGTACCAGTATCTTTTTTTCAATGGTTTACGGGTTGGATTGAACAAGTCCATGGCACTCAAATTGTTATCCAATCGGTTGCCATTCTATGGGCCATATGGCTGCAAAGAAATCAAGTGGTCTTCCATCACAATTCCCCAAATATTGAGAACACATTAGAGGAAGCTAGGAAACTCTTTGATATGTTCTCATGTCTTACTAAAACAAGCAATGGAACTTGCTCTACTTCTAAAAATAATCAAGGCACTAACACATCTAACCTTTGTATTTTGCAGAATGTTTTAGACATCAGTAGTGCAATAGATTCTTGGCATTTCATTATGGATGGCTCATGGAAATCACCAACCGACAATACTGGAATTGCATGGATTTGCTTGGACAACCAGAAGTAGTTGATCAAAAGACAGGTTGTGGTGAAGACATCCTTACCACATGCTTTACTAGCTCAAGCACATGCATGCTTGGATGCAATCCAATGGGTTGTACAACACGAATTGAAACATATAAATGTGTACACAGACTGTCAGGTACTAGTCCAGATACTTCAATAGCAATGATGTCAGGGGGATTGGCACATTTGTACTCTTGTTCAAGATATTATAGCTTATGCAAAGAGTTTGAATTATGTATGTCTTCGTAAAGTTGACAGAAGTGTTATTCAACCAGCACATAATCTGGCCAAAAATGTAACTACTACTACTAAAGAGTATAATATATGGATGGTTGTTTCGTTCTCTAAAAAAAACCCAATTTGTTGACAATAAAGCTAGAACACCAGAAAATGTCGAGAAGTCACTTAGAATGGCCTTATTTGGTGTAATTGTTAAAACATAATATAAATTATAACTTTATAGATTATAGATTATGACTTTAATCAGAAGTTGTTAATCTGTTTGGTATAACTGTTGGATTATAGATTTAAGTTGCTGAGTTGTGTTTGTTAAATAAGCTGTGAAGCAACTTTTTCAATTAATTTTTATTTTTTGTTATTCACTACTTGTTTACATTTCTCATAAATAATAGCAACAACAACAACAACAACAACAACAACAACAATAATAATAATAATAATAATAATAATCTATAGTCCATTTGGGTCTTTTTCTGTTTTTAAAAAATAAAAAATTCTAAGAGTATAATCGTAAATTAATATGTCCACAGTAGAAGCTAATAATTAGAAGTAAGGGGTGAACAGTTTCTTAGAATCAGTTTTTTTTAGTTAAAATAAGTTATTAGAATCAAAGGCTGTTTGAAATAAGTTTAACCAAACAGTCTAAAATAATTTTTCGAAAGCTAGAAGTTATAAGTTGACTCAAAAAAGTCCAAACAAACACTCTCAATATTGATGTAGGATTTAAATTTAATTCTATAAAATGAGACTTATATTTGAAATAAATCTTAAGGTAGCGTTTGGTAACGTTTACATTTTTTGTTTATGTTTACAAAAATTTTATAAATTGGTTTTTTGTTTTTTTTTTAGAAAAACATAAATTACAAACGCGTTTAGTTTGAACAAAATATTTGAAAATTTTTAAAAACATAAACTAAAAAATATGTTTGTTCAGGCCTAAAATATTTATATTTATTTTTTATTATTTATGACAATGAGATGATACATATTATAATTGGAAAAAAAAATTAATTGAAAAAAAAATTAATTGAAAAAAATTTGTTAGTCAAAATTTTAAATTTTTGTTTAAAAACAAACGTAAACTCATTTTTTGAGTTTACATTTTTTTCTCAAATTTATAAGCTGAGACAACTATTTATAAACTAACAAAATTAACAAATAAGTTTTTATGACAATTTTTTAAAATTTTGTAAATATAAACTAAAAATTGAAATCGAAATACTTATTAAATAGGGCTACCTATTTAATTTTTTGAATATTTATTTAAAAAACATTCATGTGAGAGGTTCCTGGAACTCCTGGGCCTATTGGCCCAAGTTTAAATTTTTTTAGACAAGCAGAATGTTATTTGTCAAAAAAGAATCTCTGTTCAAAATTTATTAATATGTTTATTTGTTCAAAATCACTTATTTATTTAAATATCTCATTATGTGTACATGTATTACATATTTGTGCAACTATGTATTCACATGTCACACTATTTGTATATTTATCACTTATCTATTCATTTATCTATTTAATATCACTTATTTGTCACACGTCACTGTCACTCATTGCCCTTTTTTAGCGACTTTTCAACGTGTATTTATTTATAAATAAGATTAATCTTTTGATTTAATGTTTAACACACTCCTCAATTTGAATTTACTGACAATTTTTTTTTTTTTTTTTAAATATTTTTTTTTTGGATACCTAACCTTATTGAATGGGTGATTGATAAAGTTCACTATAAAGCACCCAATTCCTTGAAAACCTTACCAAGTCACCACCCTTTATTTCCCCACCATGGCCAAAACCATCCCAAACCTCACCTCCACCATCTTCACCAGCTTCTTCTTCTCCCTCCTCATAGCCACAAAATCTCAAGAATTCTCAAGAAGCCTCTGATGATACATATTATAATTAGGAAAAAAATTAATTGAAAAAAATTTATTTGAAAAAAAAAATATTTGAAAAAAAAAGTAATTCAAAAAAATTTGTTAGTCAAAATTTTAAATTTTTGTTTAAAAACAAAAGTAAACTCATTTTTTGAGTTTATATTTTTTTCTCAAATTTATAAGTTGAGTCAACTATTTATAAACTAGCAAAATTAACAAATAAATTTTTATGATAATTTTTTAAAATTTTGTAAATATAAATTAAAAATTAAAATCGAAATAGTTATTAAATTGGCCTAACTATTTAATTTTTTGAATATTTATTTAAAAAACATTCATGTGAGAGGTTCCGGGAACTCCTGGCCTATTGGCCCAGGTCTAAATTTTTTTAGACTGGCAGAATGTTATTTGTCAAAAAAGAATCTCTCTGTTCAAAATTTATTAATCTGTTTATTTGTTCAAAATCACTTATTTATTTAAATATCTCATTATCTGTACATGTATTACATATTTGTGCAACTATGTATTCACATGTCACACTATTTGTATATTTATCACTTATCTATTCATTTATCTATTTAATATCACTTATTTGTCACACGTCACTGTCACTCATTGCTTTTTTTTGGCGGCTTTTCAACGTGTATTTATTTATAAGTAAGTATAATTTGATTTAATGTTTAACACACTCCTCAATTTGAATTTACTGACAATTTTTTTTTTAAAATATATATTTTTTTTTTTGGATACCTAACCTTATTGAATGGTTGATTGATAAAGTTCACTATAAAGCACCCAATTCCTTGAAAACCTTACCAAGTCACCACCCTTTATTTCCCCACCATGGCCAAAACCATCCCAAACCTCACCTCCACCATCTTCACCAGCTTCTTCTTCTCCCTCCTCATAGCCACAAAATCTCAAGAATTCTCAAGAAGCCTCTCTCAGAAAAAACTAGGGCTCAAAAAAGAAAAGCTCAGCCATCTCCACTTCTACTTTCACGACACCCTCTCCGGCAAAAACCCAACCGCAGTCCGAGTTGCAAAGGCTCCCATAACAAAAATATCCCCAACCTTGTTCGGAGTCGTGGTCGTGATGGACGACCCGTTGACATTAAAGCCTGAACCGAGCTCCAAACAAGTGGGAAGAGCACAGGGAATCTATGCCTCTGCATCACAGACTGAGTTTGGTTTGTTAATGGCTATGAACTTTGCTTTCACAGAAGGGAAGTACAACGGAAGCAGTCTTAGTATTTTGGGTCGAAACACTGTGTTTTCGACGGTGAGAGAGTTGCCGGTGGTCGGAGGGAGTGGACTTTTCAGATTTGCAAGAGGGTATGCTCATGCCAAGACTCACTCGCTTAACTTCACCAGTGCTGATGCTGTTGTGGAGTACAATGTCTATGTCTTCCATTATTGACCACTTGTTTAGTTTCCGAGTCCATAGATAATACAAAAAGGGTATATACTATACATAAACGCTAGATTTTTTTTTATTTGATTTTCTTTATCATTAGATACGTAAGTAGTAAGAATTAAATTAATGTTCACATGTGTGATTTATATTTTTAATTATAGTGATAAAGAAAATTTGATAAGAAATCTGTTTAGCATGTTTGATTGACAAGATTAATAGTGAAAGTATTAATAATCTTATTAAATTAGTGTGATATTCATTATTCAATTAGATTAGTAGGATAAATTATCCCCTTATCAATTGTTTGATTTGCATTAGATAAGAAAACATATGAATGTAAAATTATAACTATATTTATCTTCTTCTTTTTTTCCAATTTTACCTTCCATCAATATTTTTTCATAATCTTTACTTTATTAAAATTTCTTCATAAACATGGTTTTGAGAAAAAAAATTATAAATAAATAAATAAAAGCAAAATAAAAATACAAAATACAAAGGTCATGTTTGGTTTGTTTTTTAATTTTTTTTTAAATGTAAACTAATTTGATAAAATAAATATCAAAAAATATTTTTAAAATTTTAAAATTATTTTTAACCTTCTAAAATATAAAAATAATAAGTATTTTAATTTTTCGTCAAGAGTAAAAGAGTTATTTTATTTTATTTTTCAGCTCAGGATATATAATCCCACCTCTATCCCATTACCAATAATATTACAAATTTGTTAGATTAATTATCCATTAGATTAATAATTCTGAAATAAAATTTTATTGGATTAATAATTCTGAAATAAAATTTCAAAACGAACACATGATTATTAGTCTCACGGATTAATAATTTCAATCACATACTTTAATCTTGTCAATCAAATATGTTCCCAATGTATTATTATCTTTGAGAGGAGCATTTTGCAAAGATTGAAAAAAAAAAAAAAAATGAGAAAGGTATTCAGTTGCGAGTTTCGGAAAATGTTTCCCTCGGAATGTGGAGTTATTCTTGAGGATATTAAGGCCAAGTTTGGAAAGTCTAAAAAAAGTTAAAAAGTCAAAAAGTTACTCAAAAAGTTAAAAAGTTATCACTATTCACTAAAAGTCAACAATTACGACTGCACAACTCCCAATTCTAATTTTCAACTACAAACTAATTTTTACAATTTTTTATTACACATTTTTTCATAAAAAGTAAAAAAATTAACCCAAACATTCATATTTTTAACCTCCACTTTTTAGTCTAGAAAAGAAAAAAGTACACTTATTTAGGACACCCAAACAATCCCTAAATCTATGGCAATGTGAGGTTGTATGTGTCCCCGTCGCAAAATGGGCCAGCTTATTTGACTACTAGTGCCTTTTTAGGAGATTTCTCACCTTTGGATGGAGTATCTCATCCTCTCCTTTAGTTCTTGTTATTTTTCTTTCTTGCAATACAGTGTAATTGATATTTTTCTGCTCATAAAAAAAGAGAAAATGTTATGTAACACAAGATCTTAATCATTGTTTTACTTTCAGTACCTACACTACAAGAAAAAACAGAATTAGAGACTAAAAATACAATTTTCGTCGCTGAAAGTAACAGAATTGGCGACTAAAATGGAATTAGTAGCCAAAAGTCTTTTGGCGACTAAAACAGTTTAGTAGCCAAATGTATAGTTATTGACGACTAAAAATCAGTTTAGTCGCCGATTATATGGGTTTTAGCAACTAAAAAAATTTTAGTAGCCAAAAGTGAAGGTTTTTGGCGACTAAAAAAATTTAGTAGCCATAAGTATAGGTTTTGGCGACTAAAAAATAGTTTGGTCGCCGATTATACTTGTTTTACCGACAAAATTAAATTTTGCAGCCAAAAATGAAACTTTTTGGCTACTGAAAAAAATTTAGTAGCTAAAAGTCTGCAATTGGAGACTAAAATTCAGTTTAGTCGCCAAAAGTGGAGGTTTTGGGCGGGAATTAATTCTTTTAGCGACTAAAAAAATAATTAGTAGCCAAAAGTATAGAATTGGGGACTAAAAAACAGATTTAGTCGCCAAAAGTGGTCTCCTATTTTTTTTAGTAAATAATTTATTTTTTACATAAATTATATTAAATAAAAATAATTATGTTTATATATATAGTTTTATATTAATACGGGTCAATATACTATATAAATAATATATGTTGCATATATATTCATGTGGTGTTGTAGTGGCATAGTGGAGAGAGTGTGTGTTGCTAAAGGTTTAGAATGTGGGAGGTTGGTGGTTCGAATCTCAGAAAAACCAAAAAAGTTGGTATTTTTTTTTCACGGAATAACCTTTGGCGACTAAAATTATTGGTCGCCAAAAGTGTTTCTTTTGGCGACTAAACGGTTTGGTCGGCGATTCATTGACTATTGGCGACTAAAAGATTAGTCGCTAAATGTATAATTTTAAAAAGTGTAATTCACTATTGGCAACCAAAATTTTGGTCGCTAAAAATCTGTTTTTTGCCGACTAAAACTTTTTTAGTCGCCAATACCTTCCCCGACCATGTTTTCGCGACAAAACCGGCGACTAAAAAATTTAGTTGGGGAAACTAAAAAGTCAACTTTTGGTGACTAAAAATAGACTTTTGGCGACTAAAAATTTAGTCGCCAAAGGTGCTTTTTCTTGTAGTGCCACACGAAGACATTTAAAAATCGCAATTCATATATATAGATAATTGTAAATATATTAAGAAAAATGGGGTTTCTAAACCCCAAGCCTTGTGGGAGCTCCAATATCTCAATCTTAATTTTCTAAATTTTTGATTTAAAAAAAAAAACTCAGCATTTATTGATTTGGTCAAAATCCCTTAATCAGCATTTATTAACTTTTTCCAATCCACATGCCTGCATTTATTGATTTGGTCAAAATTCCTAATTAGCATTTAAAATATCCTCAAACAAATAATTATAGATACAACCCGTGCATAGTTACTGCAGTAGCCTTTTAATTTCTCCTGTATACTATGGTTATTGATAAGATTGTTAAATTATTTTTATAAAAAATCTTAAAAAACATAATTTATATATTAAAAAAAAATTATAATTATCCCGTACATAGCACGGGTGATAGGCTAGTACTATATATTAAGTAAAAGGGGGGTTTTTAACCTCAAGTCTTGTGGGAGCTCTAATCTCCCAATCTAAATTTCTTAATTTTTTGATTTAAAAAAAAAAAAACCTTACCATTTATTAACTTCTCCCAGCCCTCAAGTCTTACCCTCATAATAACACTTTAATGCATTAAGAACAAGTATAAAAAAAATTCTTTAAAATCCAACACATATGAACATATGACTATTATCCCTTATAATAACACTTTAATGCATTAAGAACAAGCATAAATAAAAAAATTTCTTAAAAAGTTCAACACATATGATTATTATCAAAATATTAAACTTTAATATAATATAAAAAAGGAAAAAAAAGAAGACATTTAAAAAAAAAAAGATATTTAAAAATTGTAATTCACATATCTATACTATATATTAAGCAAAAGGGGGTTTTAATTCACAGGCCTTTTGAGAGCTCCAATATCCTAATCTTAATTTTTTAATTTTTTGATTTAACAAACAAAAAAAAATCAACATTTATTGTTTCTCCCAACCCAACCTCAACATTTATTAATTTCTCCTCACTCACAATCCCTTTTGACTTCTCTCATAATTACTGCAGCACAATTTTCAATTTCTCTCATACACTATGGTTACACACAAAAATAAAGAAGATAAGAATTTAGCTATAGATCTCAAAAAAATATAACCTCTAAATTTGAATTATAATTTAGTAATATAATTATGTATTTTTTTTATATATATTTAAAAAAATATTAACTGATTTATTTATTTAATAACAAAAATATTTCATAATCTCTCCCTCCTAATCTCTCTCACCAATTTCAAAAAAAAAAATTAAAACTTGCATTCATTTTCTCTTCCCCAAAAAATTAGATAATATTTTTTATTAAAGTTGTAGATATCTATCTATATCTTATATCTTATATTATAACATAATAAATAAATAAATAAATAAAAACTAAAAAAAAATCTTTAAAGCTTATCTAATAATTATAATAATATTTTTTTTAATTTATAAAGTTTCGTGCATAGCACGAGTTACCGCTATCTATATATTTATCTTTATATATATATATATATATATATATATACATTATATATTAAGCAAAAAGGGAGTTTTTAACCCCCAAGACTTGTGGGAGTTTCAATATCCCAATTTGAATTTTCTAAATTTTTTATTTAAAAAAAAATTAGCATGTATTGATTTGGTTAAAATCTGCTGATCAACATTTATTAACTTTTTTCAATCCACATGTCTTTTCACATGCCTGCATTTATTGATTTTGTCAAAATCTCCTGATCAGCATTTAAAATCCCATCATATAAATAATTATAGATATAATCTGTGTATAGTTACTGCAGTACCCTTTTCAATTTCTCTCATACACTATGGTTAGTGATAAGATTGTTAAATTATTTTTATAAAAAATCTTAAAAAACATAATTTATATGTTGAAAAAAATCTAAAACAAATATAAACATTTATAATTATCCCGTGCATAGCACGGGTAATAGGCTAGTATTGATAATTGTAAATATATTAAAGAAAATGGGGTTTCTAAACCCCAAGCTTTGTGGGAGCTCCAATCTCTCAATCTTAATTTTCTAAATTTTTGATTAAAAAAAAAAAAAAATCTCAACATTTATTGATTTGGTCAAAATCCCTCGATCAGCATTTATTAACTTTTTTTCAATCCACATGTCTGCATTTATTGATTTGGTCAAAATCCCTGATTAATATTTAAAATCCCCTCATACAAATAATTATAGATACAGCCCATGCATAGTTACTGCAGTAGCCTTTTTAATTTCTCCTGTACATTATGGTTAGTGATAAAATTGTTAAATTATTTTTATAAATAATCTTAAAAAACATAATTTATATATTAAAAAAAATTAAAACAAATATAAATATCTATAATTATCCCGTACATAGCATGGGTGATAGGCTAGTTATAAATTAAAATAAAGAAAACAAAAAATACATTGCCAAATACTCCAATAATATAAAATGGTGGAAACACCTGAAAATATATATAACACAAGAAATTATTAAAAGAAAATTTTTATATAAGATA